TTAGGGTTTGGGGGTTTTAGGGTGTAGGGTAGCTGGGTAGTTAGGGTAGTTAGGGTTGTTTAGGGTTTAGGGTTCCGAAGTCACAGAGACTCCCCAAAAACCCTCAATTGCCAGGACCCTCCTTGTACCCTCAAACAGGGGTACATGGTCCGAAATAATGGGTATTGAGGGTCTGGCAGAGGGTAGATGAAGGGTCTCGGTAATGACTCTACCGTAAGATTAGCTGGGAGATCGTTAATTTGCTTTATGGTATTGTCCTTACTTTTGCGGGGTTTGGGAGTCTTGTGGTTACCGCATTCTCTCATTACGAGTAGCTTTCATCTAGAGTTCAGGTTCTATGGCTCAGGAATTAGTTATAGGGCTTTCTGGTTTTCGGTTCAAGGTGTGACGGGTTCGATTGGGTTTCTGCACCAGTAGACTCCAAGCAGCCTCCGATATTGTGTCCGGAACCCTACTACGAAGGACGAGGAGGCTCTATCAAGGGTAGGTTGGGTGGTCCCGGCCGGGTGTAGGGTTCAAGGCCCTAGGCCCTAAACCCTAAACCCTAAACCCTAAACCCTAACCCTATACTAAACCAGTTCAATTCGTCTGGATTTATGGTGGGGAGATGTTGTTGGGAAATCCGGAACTTCGGGTTCTCGGCTAAGGCCTTTGCCCTTTGAGCCCTGGGCTTAAGGTTTAGGGAAACCCCGGAACTCCAGAGCCGAGAGGGGTTTAGGGTTTAGGGTTTAGGGTTTAGGGTTTAGGGATCCTAAACCCGAACCCGAAGTTGGAATAGAAGGCGTTTAAATCCGATATGACCTTGAACAAACACCTATAGATGTCCTAAGGCTTTTTGGGCCCAAGTTCAGGTTTAGGGTTTAGGGTGTAGGGGCCATAGGTCCGCTGCAGAGCGTGGATCAATTTCTTCTAGTACCTTCGCGCCTTGAAGGAACCGCTCCATAACCTCGAATCATCCCGAACCGTAAACCCTAAACCCCTCAAGCCGTAAACCCTAAAACCCTAAAGCCCTAAAACCCTAATCCCTAAACCCTAAGCCCTAATCCCTAAACCCTAAGCCCTATACCCTATACCCTAGGCCCCATCCTAGAATCCCTATAATCGAAGCAGGGCCCTGTCAAGACCGACCTCGGTGGGGACGAAGGGCGTCTTGGATGCTGCGAAGACTAAGGGCTTAGGGTTGAGGGTTTAGGGTTTAGGATTACAAGATTTTCGGGTTGAGTGTTTTAGGGTTTTAGGGTTTAGGGTTTAGGATTCCAAGATTTTAGGGTTTAGGATTTAGGGTTTAGGATTTAGGATTCCAAGATTCCAGGTTGCCTGTGCCCATATAGTATATACTTTGGCCGCGAAAGTGCCTATGTAGGAACCCCTTTAAGGTCAAAGTACAGTAGATGGCAAATGGAGGCTTTGTAGGGATTGTAACGATTGAGGTGTGGAGTCCGTTCGGTGTTTTTTGGCCGAGTTGTTTCGAGGGTTTTGGGTGTGGGCTTTCGTCTGTGTTTGTAATGTTTGGTCTAGTTACCCCAAACCCTAAACCCTAAACCCTAAACCTTGAACCCTAAGCCTACACCCCTAGTAGAGTTGCCCGAGCGCTCCAGCAACCCAACGTGGAGCCAGTAATTTAGGCAAGTGGAGACGTGGGGCTTGTTTCTCTTAAAAGATCAGGCGACATAGTCAACGGAGCATATCCCTAAACCCTCAACCCTACCTAGACCCCCCAACTACCCCCTGATATACCCGAAATACCCACTATTCAAAGACTCCATCGATGGGTACTTCGGGGTCCTGGTAAACCCTAAACCCAACCTAAACCCTGAACCCTAAAACGCTAAACCCTAAACCCTAAAACCCTAAAACCCATGACCAGCTTACTAAGGTCCCTGACCCTTTAAGTGGGTACCCCAGCGAAAGGAGTGTCCTGGCGGACAGCGACTTCGAGGGGTCCGGCTCGCGATAGGGACCTGGGCGCCGTTTAGGGCTCAGGGCCGGGTTAGGGCTAGATTTAAGGTTTAGGGCTTAGGGTTTAGGGTTAAGTTTTATGGTTTAGGGTTACGCTCAGGAAGTGTAGTCTTGAATTTTGTTTTGGGGGGCTCTATACTGTACGAGACTTGTTTCAAGGGGCTGTGAGGCAATGATTCTAATGGTTCTCCCCACTCCCATAACAAGATGATCTCTCTGATCGCATGATGTGAGTTGTCTTAACATTCCTCAGAAAGTTTCAGGCCCTGAAGAACTGAACCCAAAAGTTATGGGGTCCCGTTAGGGGGTCCACATTGGTTCTAGAAGGGCTCTTGTCTTAGTAGTTCGGAGTGAGGGTTTCGGGGGAGCAGGGGTTTAGGGTTGTCAGGGTTGTCAGGGTTTGGATTGCGGCTTGAGGTTTTGGCTGCGAGACAATCTGGAACCCTGTAACAACCCCTATATAGCCGGATGGCAGGTCTGGTAGGTGCGTATGTATCAGGGGCGTTTACGGTTCATTGTTCCTTAATTTCCAAACCCTACAACCCTAAACCCTAAAACCCTAAACCCTAAACCCTAAACCCTAAACCCTAAACCCTAAAACCCTAAAACCCTAAAGCCCTAAGCCCTAAACCCTAAAACCCTAAAACTCTGAACCGAACGTCTCTCCGGACGGCCAGGGCAAAGTTTCCCTTGCGAGACCCGTTGACCTGAATCCAAAAGTGCGCCGTGTTTGGGCTTCGGGTTCAGGGTTTATGGTCCTGATTAGGGTTTAGGGTCCAGAAATACTAGTTGTCAAGACTATTCTTGGGGTTCCTTATTATATTTAAAGTATAGTATTGCACAAAAATCCTTCTTCTACTGATGAAAGCCCGTACATCAGGTCTTGTCAGTGCTTGTCGGAAGGGAGGAGCCTTTAAGCCCCCAAGCCCAACACCAAAACCTCAAGGATATTAGTATAGAAGCCTAAATAATTACCAACATTACTCCTTAGGCTTCCTTATATTTATAACTATAGTATGAAGGAGCCCAAAACCGTATTCTAATGATTAAGCCCCCTAAACCCTAAACCCTGATAGTCGCCCTTATGGAACCCTTCAAGGAACCCTTTAAAGGAACCCCAGAACCCTATTCTAACTATCAAGGCCCGCACATTACATGGAGCCCTAGGGAAGGTTGTGAGCAGTCCCCAGGAAACTCTGTGAATCCAACAGCGCTACATGCGAGACGCCCAAAATCCTGGTGTTTGTACGCTGAGGTGGGCCATAATCCCCAACTGAGGGGCTGAATAGGTAGTCTTAGGTTTAGGGTTGAGGGCTTACATAAATCGCGGCTTATACAATCCTTCTATAGTTTAGAAGGTTAACTTTTGACTTTTTTGGGCTGGGGCACTCAGCCCCTAACCCAAAACCCCATCAAGGAGCAACCCCTAAAGCCTCGAGCCTTTTTTCGGCCAAAGCACACCGTTCTAAAGTGTTCTGTGCTTCCGATCCAAGGCGTCCTTGAAGAACCAGGGGATTTAACAAGCGGGTTCCAAGTAAGGTAAGTATAAATACATCTACATTGTCTACGCAGAACGGTTTAGGGTTTAGGGTTCAGGGTCTATATTGTCTACGTATAACCTCCATCTTACCACTTGTATCCCCACTTACTAAGTCCTCTGCTTGCTCCGATCCAAAAAAGTTGTTTTCGCTGTCAGGTGCCTCATAGTCGTGGTATGTTGGAGAGGGCTGAGGTTTTCGAGCTTCCTCGGTCGGCCTGGGGGACATGTCGATGTTTTGTTTCCTTTTCTTCTTAAGAGGGGTTTAGGGTTAAGGGTTTAAGGTCTATTTGCAAATATTTTTTCGAAGGCTCTGATAAAGGGCCAATTTAGCATTTCGGGTTCAGGTTTTGATTCAGGGCGGTGAAGGTGGGAGCTACCCTTTCAGCAGGCCCTTAACCGCCACCTCCGAGCTCTCACCCCGGAGTCTAGCCTTTCACTTTCCACGGAGGGACAACTCGGTATTGACACCCCAACCAAAAAAATGAATCTACCTTGTCGCTGGTGTGGGGGCACCCTGTATAAAGCCTATACCCTAACGGCCTAACCCTATAATCTATAACCCTAAACCCTTTTGACGGTTTAGCAAGGCTTGGAGAGGGATCTGAACGATGTGAGCGTGAACAAACTCGGGGTTGGAATAGGGTTCCCGATATACTACAGTATAGTTATAGAGCATTCCCATCTAGTGTTGTATCCGAAACGTTATTCAGTTCTGATCATACAGGCCCCTGTAGTACATCCAGCAAACGGCTTGGTCCCTCAACCCTCCTAAACCCTAAACCCTAAACCCTAAACCCTCAACCCTCCTAAACCCTAAACCCAGTTAAACCTATTAGGATGTTGGTTTTGTGGTTCAGGGTTCGGGAGTTGAAAGTCGCGAACATCTGGTTTGGGACTAG